TGTTGACGACCCACGCGTAGCCGCGGGGTGTGGCACCGCCACGGCCCTACCACAGCCGCTGCCAGGAGGCGATCACGAAGTCGCCTTGTCCCCTCCCCACCACCGTTCGATCAAGCGGAACAAGCTGCTTTTCTGAGACGGATCCGTCTACGCGAAATAGATTTAAGACGCCCCTAGAACGCCCGGTTACGGAGGCACAAGCCGGCACAGGCCACGATACCTCACCACTCGCCCTAATTTAAGTTCCTCTGGGGCGTTCAGACTCCGATGCCTGTCCCTGGCACACCGGTACTCGGCTGCCCTTGTCCCGTCCCTGGCACGCCGGTACTCGGCTGCCCTTGTCTCTGCTGGAAATACCCCACGGAGAGCCCACATGAGCCTTTCCTTCCACGGTGGCACCCCTGTGGCAGTTCACATGTCTAACGTACTCGCGTGTCTTTCCTCTGCGTTCTCTCTGACTGATGAATCTTTATCCTAAAAGCTCTTTTTATCGGTAACCATACAATTTTGTACGTTGTTCTATTAAGCTTATCTTGTTTTTCTCATAGGACGGTCCTGTCCTCTGCACTGACACCACCAGCTTTGTACTGCTCTCAAACTTCCTAAGCGCAAACCTCGGTTACTAGTGAATACACAAGGGAAGATCAGATTCAAGACAACCGGTGGAACAAAACGAGCACCCCCTCCCAACAATCTAATAACACGGCATTTAATGTAAAAAAAAGAAGAAGAAAAAAAAAAAGACCACCCCACTCCCCCAGCCTGCTCCACAACCCCCTTTGAATTCCTCTAGGAATCCCCCTCATTTCCACATTCAGTAATGTGTTTTGAGCTGAGGCTTCGGTTAATTAAATCTGCTATATTGCCTCTGTTAAGGAAATGAGTTTTCTCATCAAGAGAGCGATTTATCTAACAGAATGTATTTCTGATAAAACCCTAGTGTAATCTACCACACTTTCCAGTCATCTCTTTGTTCACCAGGTTTCTTCCTCAGAATTTGTTCTAAAACTGTCTTTGCTGGTATCAAACTTGCAGGCTGTACTGCCTCCGGCAACTTCTCTCTCTTTTTGAGTATAGGTACCACATTTCATACAATCATAGAATCATTAAGGTTGGAAAAGACCTCTAAGATCATCGAGTCCAACCGTCAACCCAACAACACCATGCCCACTAAACCATGTCCCTAAGCGCCTCATCTACACGTCTTTTAAATACCTCCAGGGATGGTGACTCCACCACTTCCCCGGGCAGCCTGTTCCAAGGTTTAACCA